TCCTGCTGACAAAGGCCAAAATCCCATCTATTTATATCAGAGGCACACAAAACCCACAACAGAGCGGTGCTCAAAAGCTTTAAAAAATGCACCTACTTTCTTAATGCTCTTAGAAAATAATAATAAAACCTCCCTATCAATATTCACTTTCTGAAATGGTGTAAAAAAAGAATGGCATCAATCATTAAACAGTTAAATGAAGGCAGTATGACAGTCACTATTGTTCTCATGAAGCACACTTGTCTTTTGCCGAGCAGCTGCCAGATCCTATTAGATGTATAAAAAGAGGACTTTTCTAACCGAGTAGGGATGGTATAAGCTATTGAAAACAGCAGACAAAAGCCCACTTTTGCAGGCTATTCAAGCCTTGTATAACATCTGTCCAAAATCAATTTTTGACCTAATGTTACTTTCATTAAGTAACAGACTTTTTTTCTAATGCAATTTGTTTTCTAGGATAAAACTGTATCCTAAGCATTATTATGTGGGAAATGGCACAGAGGGAGTAGATCTTATTTGAGACACATGAGAACAGAATTTGCTTAATTGTTTTGACACCTTAAGTACTATAATAGAGAAACTATTTTCCATTTATTTGAATTCTTGAAGTTGGCAAAGCAGCAAGTAATGCACTGGGTTTATTATGACTAAGATTTACTGAGGATAAAGGAGAATCTTTGGGAATTACATTAAAGCTGACAAAGGCACAAAACCTCAGAAATCTCCACCAGAAATAAAGTACTCTGAGCATTAACAGCAGCTGCTGAAACTGTCCACTCTTGATGGTTAAAAGGCTTTTTTCACACATTTTAAATCACGAGGAAGTTGATTCATGAATTTGATTTCAAACAGACTGTTAAGAAACGTTTGCACTTACCCAAAGGGTCTCTGAATGAAGGCCGGATGTAACTGCTGCACACCTATGGTAAAACCTAAAACATGTTCAGAAAAAAGAGAAATATAAATATTAACGAATGGCATCCACTGAACCATTCAGCTCTTAATATACGTGCATAATTCCACCTCGGACCACACGTACATGTATTTTATCTGCTATTCATGTGAGCAAATTTAGAGCCCCATTTAGAAGCAAGTTAATTTTAATATGTGTATGTGATACGCAGGAGCAGCAGATGGGAATTCAGATTAAAGATCGGCGTGAAAGTGCTGTTATGGAACAGACAATGGGGTATCGCGCCTCGTTTTACACATCGGGTACTGCGGTCATTAAACCAAAGGGCAGATGAACTGGATCTTACTGTTAATATGGATGTAGCGAAGGGGATAACAGCAAAATGGATTAGCTTTAACTCAGTCATATGAACTTAGATGCATAACACTAGTGTAACAGGTATGAGTAAGATGATATGGAAGAGGTAACTGGACTGGACAGTGTCCTCTGTCAACAATCAGAACTATGAACGATCAGCACGCATCGCCAGATCAGATTAATCCAGCCTGAGTAACTAGTTTCCTTGTCTTATAAGTTATTCTAATAGAGAGAGATGGAATCTCCTGGGTGCCTCACCAGTTTGAATACTCCTTGGTTTTGCTCCCAAATAGGCCAGGTTCACATTCGCTTTCCTGCCATCAATGATGGGATTTGGGTCTTTGCACGCTCTTTCAGCCGCAGCTCTGTCTGCCATAGTCACCTGGAGAGAAGCACAGCCTTATTTGTAGCGACAGCACTTTGTAAACACTCCAGCAACAAGCACTAAGTGGACTTTATTTATTGTTCTATTTTGAATCAGGAGCTAAACTCCGCTTACTGCGGTCTCGCTTGCAAAGCAAGACGGGAAGAGGTCCTGGTGACTTGATGGAAAAGAGCGTTCCCCCCTCGC